TGAGCCCAGGAGTTGGAGGTTGCTGTGAGCTGTGATGTCACAGCACTCTACCCAGGGGGATAGCTTGAGGCTCTGTCTCAAAAAAAAAAAAAAAATAGCACCCACTTTGGTAACTACATGTATTTTTTTTGACAGCATATTGGTCCCTGCATACCCAGGGTTCTGAACTGAGTGCTCAGCTCCTATTCAGGGCAGTGCATCTACTTGGTGTGTTTAGGAGGCATCAGATACATCCATCATTCTTATTAGCCAAGTCCTCTCTTCTTAAATGGTTTCTTCCTACCTAGATTTTTTTCTTTCTTCCTTTAAATGTATATTACATATCTGTATTTATAAAGCTTCTTTTATTTCTTTTTAAATAAAACATTCCCTTTTGTATTCATCCTTAAAGAAGAATATTTTTTTCACCAACTCTGAGAAAACATTCAACAATAAAATACTCCAGCTGGACTCACTAAAGTCAGTGGACAGACAGACCAGCCTTTCTGCCATTCTTCTCCATGGAGATCCTAAGTAATGTGGTTCTTATCCCATGACCTTACATTACAAACTCAAATCAATTATCCATCCGTGACCTTTCATAGTAATGCTTTAATTCTGTCCAATCCCTATTAAACTCCCTTTGAATCTAGTAAAGCCATTTAATTGAAATTGGAAAATGTCACCTTTTCATTGCTTACGTTCTTCCTTGTCTAAGAGTTCTTGCCATCTCTCTTTTGTTTGAGCTTTTGGATATTTCCTATGTTCTGAGAAATTCAGGGGGCATGGTCTGTCGTTAGCATATCACACCTCATAAGTAACACTAGTTTGCTTGTGGCTTTCAAGTCATTCTATTCATAAATGATTTTGCTTTCTGCAAGCATTTTGGGATTCCTCCATACCATTCCAAAGAGCTGTAGATTCCAAAGAATGCTTACTGTATAGATAACAGTGGTAAAGTTTTCCCTACTGAGTATTTTCCACAAAATTCTTTCTAAGAGAAGTCCAACAGGCAGCCAGCTGTGAAGGGGTGTCAGATGACAGGAATATGTTTTTGAAAAGTCCTTTAATGTATTCCTGCAAATCAACAAATCAGTTGCAGTTTAGAAATGATACTAGGGTTACTAGTATCACTTCTAAAGAGCAAACAAGGTGAAAACCTCAGCCACTTCCTAAGTGAGTCTTGTGCCTGGAGATATTAGCTAAAAATATAACAGTTTAAAGTCGTCTTGATTGGCAGAAGATACCAAAATGAAATATCCAAAACACAAAGACAAGCCTTGTAATTTTTCTACAATGTCTTAAGTCAAGTGATACATAATCATGTTCTTTTCAAAATTTTACTAAACAATGATAAATGCTTAAAGACCCATTTTAGGGAAAATTCCAACTTAGGGGCTATTTGTCCTTCCTGACATAGTAAAAATGACGTAATGTGGAAGACCCTATGGTAACAAACTAAAAATGCATTTCTTTATTTTTTTGTTAAGAACCACATAGAAAACACTGAGGTATTGAAGAAATAAATATTACAATAAGTCATAGAGTACAGAGCATCCATCCTACTGTTGCGTGAAGAGTCCAGATGGTTCTCACAGAGCTCACTCAGCTTTTAGGTATTTGGTCCCTTACGTCTCAAAGAGGAAATACACAAACAATTAGTTGTTTTATTTCTTTGACAACAATTAAAGATAAACCTGAGAAGATATTTTTTCCAACAGTAAATTACTTTTCTAATAAAAATAATGCTTTCTGGGGAAACTGTTGGAGTGATTGTTTTAATGGAAACAGTGGATTCTGCAAGGAAACTGCAGTGAGGTGTTGTTCACCTGCAGACTGCTGAGAAAGAAACTGATGGCAGAAATACACAAAGTGCTTTCCAAAGGCATTGATATAGTCAACCTCATAGAAACCAAAGATAAGGCATTCTTTAATAAACCGGTATCACCTATAAAAATGTTACATCTGTATACTTAAGAACTTAGAAAAAGAATTTTCTAACATGATTTAAAATGTTCCAAATGAAGAGTTTCAGTTATTCTTATAAAACATTTTTGAATTTGTTTACCTGAATAACTAATTGACATTGTGGATGATGGATATCTATGAGTCAAATTCCAACAGCAGTTTTTGCCTGTTTGGCAGGTAAGACTGACAAATAAACACTGTGTTTTTGAAAACCCAGTTAATGACATTCTGGTTCCACGTGGACCTGTGTGTGTTTGTATAGTGGCTCTTTTACCTTTGACAGCCATTAAAATCTGGAATTAAAACAAATTTGAACTTAGAACCTGACTGTTGTACTGGGAAGTAGTAAGCCCATATTGTAAAAATAGTAAAGTATATTAAATCACATTGTCCTCCCTCAACAATTTATTATTGATATATTAATAAACCATTAACCATTAACAACATTTTAAAAATTAATTTTAAGACATTATTTTTACCTTATTTGTTGTAAATTTCCTTTTTGTATGTTTTATAAACCAGAAATATTTTAGTGCAGTAGTATATGTGTGCAAAGGAAGAAATGATAAATACATTAATATACATATTGTGTTGCATACTTTTTTTCACACTTCAGCTCTGAAATTGGAATGGTTCTTACAATATATTACATAAATACAGTTTCAGTAGAAGTCAGCTTATTTAAACAAAGACAGAAAAACGAGTGTGCGGCAGCCTTGAATGATTCCTCCTTGGTGTGGTGGTAATATCATCATAGACTCAGTGCCATTGTGATTAGTAGAATGGATTTATTAATTTGTTGTCAGCCTAAACATTCTGATTGGAATTCACCTTAGGCTTTAATGAAGTAGTTAGGGATTTGTGTACCTGGGGTCCTCAGAGTTTATGAAATATCAATTCAGTGCAGTTGTGGAGGAGAAAATTGGTAATCTTTACCTACTATCTACTTAGATAGTCAAATATTAGCTCAGTATCTGTGGTTCAACACTCTTTAGAAGAGAAGAGTCATAAGGTGTAAACTTTTAAATCAAATACCTGACAGAAGAGGAAATATGATTCACAAAATCATAAAGAACAACAAGACATTTAGAATAATTTAAGAACACAAAGAATAGAGGTCACAGGGAGTTTCTTCATTTGCTTTATCTATTTTTAAGCCTCAGATAAACATCTTAATTTGAATAAAAAGAAAACACTTAGCAAGGAACTATTTTCCATGGGTACTGAACTAGGTGCTTCCACATTTGTTGTCTTGTACAACATTCCTAGGAGACTATTCAATTACGTTGGATTCATCGTCATGAATTTCAGAAGAGTCACTAGATAAGACACATATTTTTAACAGCTTTGTATTTTTGGTGGGAAGTGACTTCTTTAAATGTTACATATATCTTGAAAACATTTTCACATTGTTTTGTTATTGTTTTTGTTCAGTAAAAACAATCTTCTTTTGGCTTTTCATTCAGTTGCAATGTTCAAATTTCAAAATGCACATAATGGATTAAAATACTGTTTGGCTTTGTGGGATAGTAAAGGAACTAAGATTTTTTTCCCCATGCTCTTGAGCTTTTAGTCTTAGCTATGAAGACTGAGATAACATGATATAAATGGTAACAGGTGACAGTGCAGAACATGACACAACGTTGCCCATTGTGCACCTGATGACCAAATGGCCACATATGTAATACATTCAAATAAATTCACAAGAGGGGACAGGACTTTGAACTAAGAGTTGAAGAATGTGAGTGAGCCATGACAAGAGAGGGCATTCCAGTGAGTGTAATGAGATATTTAGATGGCTAAAAACAGAGAGGATAAATCAGGTTGAAAGTCTGAAAGAAACATTCATAGAAACAGAGTGAGGCAGGACTGTGGAGTGTTTTGCCAGCAAGGCCCAGGAGACTGGTCTTAATAACAGTGGAAAGTAACTAAAACAATTGTAGCAGAGACATTGGGCAATTTGGTTCTACAGTGTAGGGAGGGGCTAGAGCCAGATGGAGCAGGGAGGTGGGTTAGAGGAATATGTGGACGGTCCAGCACCGCATGAGGAAGGGCTTGAACTAGAGCAGGGCTAGATTTATCAGTGCTGATCACTGGGTGGGTATGAATAGGATGAATAGGAACATTTAAAAGAAAGGAAGGAGGAAAAGAAGGAAGGAGGACTAAACCATTTTGGAAGACAGGGAATTTGATTTTAGTTAATGGATTTAGTGGTGACTGGGACAGAGAAATGGACTGCCGGACGGTGGGCGGGAGTCATAGGACCACAACTGTGGAGAAAGGCCAAGACCCGAGATTCCTGAACCACGTGAGTGGTTCTCAGTCACAGGCGGCTTTGCTCCCAGGACACTGGCAACGCCTGAAGACATTTCTAGTTGTTGCGACTGAGGGGGATGCTGTTGGCGTCAAGCTGGGGTGGGGGGGGGGATAGGCAGAGACACTCTAACATCCTGACCATGCATGGGACAGCTTCTCACCACACAGGGGTGAGAAGCGGGGGATGGCAGTAGCACTGAGGTTGAGAAACCTTGGTCCAGTGCAGTGGTTCTCAACCTTCCTAATGCCGCAGCCCTTCTGAGTCATAACCCACAGGATGAGAACCACTGGTCTAGAGAAAAAGGATCATTTTTCAGAGAAATATCACCAAGGGGGAGCACATAGAATCATACAAAAGGCCAAGGACTTCTTAGCAAATACCCACATTTTAGAGATGTTAGAAAGTGGAACCAGCATGTGACACAGAGCAATAAAGTACTAACAGGGGCAAACATGGACCCATCTGTTCACTCATTTACTCTGCAAGTGTTGAACTGCTGTATTTGGGTTACTAAGTGCAGGGGACACAGGTGTGCTGCATGGAGCTTATGTTCTAGTAGAGGGTGGCAGGTAACCAACAGATAAAGGAGATAGTGATTAGGTGATGGGGAGCCCCTGATAGACACGGACTAGGGGCTGGTACGGGAAGGGTGTGAGGGATGACCCGAGATAGGAGACAGGCTGAGCACTATAAGAAAGGAGATAGTCCTAGGAAGAGCAGCCATGATTCTGTCCTGGGTTGCAAGGAACAAGGAGAAAGGCTTAAGGGAGAATCAGAATGATCAGAGTCCCTGCAAGGCGCCTGTGCCCTTGTCGGTTAGGAAGACATCTCGTTCCTCAAAAGCCCCATCCTAAAAGATTAAAAACATAAGCCAGGTGCAGGGGCTCAGCCTATAATCCTAGCAGTCTGGGAGGCCAAGGTAGGAGGATCCCTTGAGCTCATGAGTTTGTAACCAGCCTGAGCAAGAGCAAGACCCCATCTCTAGTAAAAATAGAAAAACTAACTGGGCCTTGTGGCAGGCACCTGTAGTCCCAGCTACTTGAGAGGTTGAGGCAAGAGGCAAGAGGATTGCTTGAGCCCAAAGGTTTGAGGTTGTTGTGAGCTGTGATGCCACACCACTCTACCCAGGGCGACCAAGTGAGACTCTGTCTTTAAAAAAAGAGAGAGAGAGAGAGAAACATAAATTATAATTCTGAATTTTCTCCTCTTCAGTTGCCAGCTTTGTGACTTGGGGGATTTGGGAGCATACCGGGGAGCCCCGCAGGGTCCTGTTGGAGTATGTTGAGTGCTTGCTCTCCACAAGTTCTCTCCACACAAATTCGACATCCCCACACAACATAAAACTGCGTAGTGACGGGACACCAGCTCTGGTGATAATCATCCCTTTCCTCCCTTTCTCCCCCAGGATGCCCGCGGTTCGCTGCTCAGGCTTTATCTATTGTCATCAGCACGTTACCTACAGTGATTGCATGTTTGCCTCCCTCAATTAAATACTTCTTTCTTCTGGCTGAGAGAAAAATGTCAAAAAACTTAGTTGAATTGAAGAAAGGTGGCCTGCTTGTCTGGAACTTGATTGTAATTATACATCGGATATTTGAGGACCGAAACACTGTGGAACTTCTAACGGGCGCCTCCCTTGACAGACGGAGTGAAGAAGAACTCCGTTTAATCTGTGTGTGTTTGGAAAGCATCCTGGGAGACCGGGCAGGCAGCCCCTGTCAGGTGACCCAGAAGGTCATACAGAGCATTGAGCGGCAGAAGCCCAACTGGATGGAAGGCCAGCTGCTGAAAGCCAGGAAACTGAGCTCTGAATGGTAAAGAGATGTTTTACTTTCTCTGCGTTCCATCAAATTCTTTCACAATAACAAGTTCACCAATAAACAGCAACAACAAAAGATTGTCAGATGGGCCTCAGTAGTGCTTTGCTAAATTCACGGGAACTTTGATGAATATAGAAAAAAAGATAAGTATCCCATTAAGAATTGGATTGTCAGGCATTCCTTGTCTTAAAATTTGAGCCTCATTGAGACACTGGAACATTTTACTGTGCTTGTTTACTCACCGTCTTAAGGTTTCTGATTAAAAGGCTGGTAGTTAAACCCAGGAGAATTGAGTTTCACTTCTTTTCAGTGTGCAAACAGGTATCTACTGGATAGCCTGGAGCGCTTTGTAAATGGATTGGGCATGGAGATTAAATTAAGAAGGAATTAATGGATATAAAGGCTTTTTATTGCCTTCTGTGTACCTGATTGTCAAAAAGGTACACATTTTTCATCTGGTAATGTAAGAATCCCAGAGGGCGACAGGGGCATATCACACTCCAGCTATAAACACACCCAGCTGTCTCTGTGCGAAAATGCCAGGCTTCTCATAAGTTTGTCACCAAGAGCTCAGTGATTTGTAGTATTGCAAAGATTTTTTAAGGGTCCCTGATGAATTTAAATATGTATATAGAGTCCTCCTGTTTTAAAATTGGTCTTTGAGTATAGAACTGCATGATATTGATAAAGGAATTCTGGCTCAGATGGTCTATAGATTACCACGTCAGCCTTTTTAAATAAAAACACCCACACACCCTGTCCCCCGCACTTTAACCTGTGTTCACACTGCGAACAGATACTGGTATAACTTCCTGCCTGAAATGACCAAAAGTCAGTTGATGCGTGGTTACTTTTACTACTACACGGTCACAGTGAGTGGCTCAGGCTTTGGAATCAGGTGGACAAGTGCCAATCCCTTGTCTTCTTGGGCAAATTATTGCAAATTATTGCATCTTTGAAAGCTTCAGTTTCAATGATGATATCAAGCTGATAGAATTGTTTTGAAAAATTAAATAACATTTACAAAGTTCTTAGCATCAAGCTGGGAACTTGTAAGCATTTGTTGTTTATACTCTATTGAAAATAATTCGCATTCACTGGTCAGTATTATGGTAACTAATAGTCCTTACTTTTCTATATTTTATGCAAGACTCTATTAATCCAAATGGGAAAAAGTAATTATAATTTTCCCCGTCTTGTCATTCTGACTTCTAGAAATTTACTTCTGGGGTATGCCATGGGTAGGAATAACAATACAGCAAGTTGGGCAATTGCCAGTGGTCTTCTTAATCAATACCATTTTACAGGCTTTAATACAATGACTAAAATGATTAAGGCCAGATATTGTTCTTTGTGGCAGTGGTTATAAAGGGAGGAGGAAAAAACTTGAGTAAAAATAATAGACCTGATTATAGAAACCAAGTTGACTTTACAGTACTCCTGAGTTAGAAACTCCTCTATCAAATAAGATCTGTTTAAAACCCTGGGTAAGGGACATACCTCGGGCTACATACAGGAATCTATAAGTGCAGTTAATTATTTCCCTCAAAGCTGATTGTAGTTTAGGTTTTATAAACATCACTAATACATTTGGTATCCCCCATAGTGAGAGTTGTCTAACTGATTAGCAATGAGTCAAAAGATTACTTAGCCATCTCTTACAAGATCCTTCAAAAATGAAAGATTGCTGGTTTTTAAAAGGTATTATGGCCTTCAAAGATTCTGAACAGTTAGTAATTAGCACAATGCTGTGCCTTTCTCAATTTTTCAGATGATAACAACATATGGAAACACAAATTTATATATTGCATTTGTTTGAAAAAGAGTTAAATTCAGCATAACTCACTTATGGTAACAATCTCTTAGGAGTTTGGGCACCATAGGAATGTTTCTTCTAGACTTCGATTTCAGATGGATTATCTGATATAGAAGTGAACTTTCACCTCTAAGTACTTCTCACAGATCAAGGATCACTTAGTTCATAGAGCTACACTATGAGGAAAAATGTATTTCAAATACATTATTTCTGTATTATATTAGGTAGAGGGTTACTTTGATTCTCCCATATTTAAATATATATATATATATATATATGTGCATATATATTTAGGCTTATTGAAGCATTTAAACTAAAACAGTTCTTCTATTAGGATAAATTAAACCTTAATTCCCCATGAAGATTATCTGAGAACTACATGATGCCATTTAGCTAGGTTTCTTCTCTTGCACCCATATTTTAACTTGGCCTATATGGAAACGGTGGAAATAATGGCTGTGGAAAGGTGGCAGCTCTAAGTGTTGCCTGTCTTCCGTCCCACCCGAGAGCATTACTATTCATTAAAATAACCTTCACTTTGTAGTAACACTCAAGCTGTAAACAGTCAGCTTAGATTCCAGAGAACACAGAGCTCAAAAAGTAAAGAAAGGTCTGTCTTTGCAAAGTAATTTGTTGAGTTGAAGATTATTGTTTTTCATCATGGTGACCCTGACTTGGCTGGCTGGGTGCATACACAGATTAAGATTAATGCAGTTATTCCTGGGCTGAGGTCTGCCTCTTTCAGGCACATTCTCCCTAATGACGTGATTGATAGGCAGTCCCAAATCCAGAGAGGAACTCATTAATCATGGCATTGACTGAATCCAATCATTTGCTTCACCTGCACAGTGATGGACAGGAAAGGATACAGTTCGGGGGCTGACACTGAGATACTCCTTTGTCAGAGGGCCTCAACTTTTTCAATGTCAACCTCTACAAAAGCTCACAAGAAATTTTGCTTGCAACCTGTATGCAGCTTTAAAAGATATTTGTAAACTTCTTTTATTGTAACAAGGTCTTTAAAGTTTCTTTTTACTCTAGCTAATGAATATCTCTAAGTCAGAGTAGGATTTCCTTATTTTTTTAGCGAGGCTTCTATGACCTTAAAGTTCCCCCCTTTTTTTTTCTTTTTTGAGATGGATGTTTTGAAGCTACATGTGGAAGCAATAGCAAAGTTAATGTCCAGCAGCTGGGCATCATTTGGTTCCGTCCTCAGGTCAGCAGCACTGACTCTTAGCAGAACTAATTTTATAATCATGGCAAAATTTCACTAATGAACTGTAGAATACAGCTGATTACACCACAGTAAATTTCATTTAGTCTGGGAAACAGTGAGAAACCATGAGTTTTCTTAAGAATGCTTTCAGGGCAAAACTTAACATGATCCTAATAGCAACTGGAACAAGAAAATTAAAGTGGAGTACGTATGATGTGAGTTAAACGTTGTAATTATGTTTTGCATTGGTACAGTTTGAGACGTTTAAAATGTTTTTATGTCAGCAATTCTCACCACGTGATTCAAAATCAACAATATGTGGACATCTCTAAAACAAGTGTTTCCCAAATGCCTCTTGCACATTGCCGGTGTGGTGCTAGTGGCCCTTTTTTTGAGGAATAATCAGAGTAGTGACTTTTACTAAGTATCTGTTACAGAAAGAAACAGGAGGGGGCGGGGTATATATTTTTAAAAGGCAAGTGTCAAAGGCCAATTTAAAATACCCAGTGGTAAGCACACCTGCCACAAAGCACTCAGCCTGTGTTTAGCAAAACAGGCTCCCCCTTCTGACACTTTAATTAGTCTGTAGTGTGTTCTGTGACAGGTGTGAAGAGGAAGCTACAGAAGACAAAATACCAATGCTATTTCTGGCTTTAAAGATACTTTTTTATCCTCAAAGAGAAAATACAAATTATTTCTTACATGTTCTTAAAAAGAAATGTTTTGTTTCCATCCCAAGATTATAGCACTTTCAACGATTGCAGTAATGGGAAAATGTTTTATAGATAGAAGTATAAATGTAATAAAGAAATGTTTTCAAAGAAGCGATTCAATTTTTGAAAATGCTTTCAGGTGCTTCATTCTCAGGTCCTGTCTGTGTGATCAGTAGCAGCCTGGGAAGGCTCACTCATATGGGCGGAGTCTTCATGGGTGCTCTGAATGTGAGATTTACATCAACTCTCCACGCTCAGTCTCCGTATTCCCATCCCTCCAGCCCTTTACCACTGATACGTATATGCTTTCTTTGTGTTTAGTGCATTTATGGCAATAGAGAAAAGCACAGCCTTAGAAGAAGGAGAGATTGCTCTTGAACTGACTGAGCAGAAAATAAACACGATGGTCCTGGATCTCTGCCACAAACCAGGTGGCAGCAAGTACCTGAGGCAAATTTATCACATCATGCGGTTCAATGAGGTAGGGAAACAGCCTTTTTACCGAGCAATTAGGTGTGTACTGGCCTGAGGCAGCGTCTGCTGGCAGCTAAGGGTTAGTCAAGGAGGTGATAATACTTCTTAAAGTCAATACCCAACTCAATATCGCATTATTAACAGAATCTATTCAGCTCTGGCTGTTCTGCATTTGTACAGAGAAAGCTTCCTTGAAACAATGTAGATTTTATTTATACAGTTTAAACAGTAACACGGCTCATAAACTCAGTTCATTTCTGAATTGTAGTTGTAGAAACTAGAGGTATAGCTTGGGAATTGTGTGTTTGCAACTATTAAGCTGATGTTAGAATCTGGTATTTGTACAATGAAGAATTTTCTGAAGAAAGACATAGCACTTTTCCTGAAAGACATTACAAGTGTTGGTGAAGTTGGATATTTCTTACATAATGAAAAAACCTCAATTTTTCTGACTAATATGTTCAATATATGTTGAACTATATTGGGGAACGACCAGATTAACCCAAGAAAATTCATTAATGCATGGACACTGTTTAGGACCGATGTTATGCCCATCCATCTCTTTGCTTAGTTAAGCCTCTGACCTGCATGTTTTTTGGCTGTTTTAGCGAAAATGTAAATAGGTGGTTATCTCAGCTATCTACTTCAAACAATACAAATTTTCTACTGTAATCAGGCTTTTAATTTGATCGCATATATCTGAATTAGGATGTGGCATCTATAATTATGTTTATATTTACAAACATATGACAATTCTTTAGAATAGTAAAAATTCTATAATTTGAATGATGTGAAAATATGGTGTTTTATGTCAATAATAGATTTCTTAAAAGCCATATGTTTCCAAGTGAATTAAATTCTGCCACCACATTTTACATCTCAGCTATATACCTGTTCTGCCCACCGTTGTCTATCTAAAAGTTGTTTCAAGTAAATTTTATTTCCTGGGTTCCATAGAGCTAAAGCAGCCAGTCATTAAACAGGTGGCATAACAGTGTATCCCACCGGAACCTGAGAGGGAGGGAGAGATTTTTAGTTGTGAGAAATGACCCTGTCCTAAAGGCATCAAAGCTTGGTGCATAATTGTTACAAAGTGACACAACCTATTCACTCTGGTTAATGATTCCTCATAGCTGGCTGAGGGCTTGCCTGCTATTTGGGAGCTCTGGAACCCCTTGCCATGGCTAACTACAGACCTGTACTGAGAAGTCACGATCCTCATCGATGTGCCCACCTGGCCACCCAGATGTGCTGGAGGGACTGTCCTGACCCCTGAGGAACAGACATTGTGGCATACCAACCCTGTGTCCTTAGAAAGTGCTGTCAGAACAGCTCTGAGGATGGTGACAGTCGGTCTGGATGGCCACACTGATAGAATAGTGCTAGTTTTAAAAGGCCCACGATAGGAAAAAGTCAATTAATTACCAATAAGCAAAATCATCAAAAATTAAGTTGGATAACTATTGACTATCATCATCTGGTGTGCTCTGGAAAGCCAAACAAAGGCTACTGTTCCCTCATAGAACTTGTGTAGCTGTGAGGCTGTAGTTCTAAGCGGGTATGCTGTGAGAGTTACATTGGGGCATCACTGCATTTTCATCACTTAAGCTCAAAGTTCTGATTTTTCTTTCATTATAACTGAATATATTTACTGTTATGGCACCAGGCACCAGATGGGCTGCAGAGCTAAGTAGTTGGAGGTTTGCTGGGCAAATGTAGTATAAATACTGATGCATTTATGGGAGCAGACCTAGGGGAGGGAAGAACAGGGTGGCATTGATAAAAACAGAGAAGTTATGAGGGAAAATTAGTTTAAAGATGCTTTGTCTTTGAGACAGAGGTAAGACATCCAAGCCAGGCCCATTGTCATTAAGGTCCTGGCCACGAACGAATGGGAGAGGCCATACCTGTGGGCGTGGTGGTCTGCCCTGGGTAAGGGACTCGAGATCACCAGACCAGCGGGGCTGTTCAGTGAAGAGAGGCAGAGAAATGACGGATGGAGAAGTGAGCTTTGATGTAACTGCACAGGGAAAGTGTTCAAGAAAGAGTGGGAATCTTCTAAAGAAATATCCTGAGGAGTGGTAAACCTGATTCAAGCCACGACACAGGAAAAGGATCTAAGGTTGCCATCATCACTGGGTGATGACAAATGCCCGTATAGCAGAGATTAATGAGAGAGAAAACACCATTTGGTTCACAACTTGCAACAGAGCACTTTCTTTTTTTGAATAATGGAAACAAAAGTCAAAATATAGTTGTATAGGGAAAATCAGTTAATCGAAGATGTTATTAGCCAAAATAAAGCATTTTTTCTAATAAAGAAGGATATTCCTTTTTCCAATTTTGCTTGCATAAATCACAATGGAGAAACATTTTCGTTCAATTCTCTGAGTCTAGGCATAAAGTTCTTTTCTGGTGGCTTCCTCGTTATTCAATAAGATTTAGGAAGAGTCCTTGGTGTCACTCTATCCGACTCTGCAGAATTAGTCTTTCCAAAGAGAGAGGCTCTATAGCAGGCCAGTTTAAGAAATGACTATTATTTTTAGGTGTGGTTTCTTTAGATTTTTAGGGTTTTAGGACCTAAAATTTGCCTTCCCCAGTAAACACAGTGAGTGTTCTTAAAGTGATAGAGGCACAGGGAGACGCACTGTGAACTGAGACCAGATTCTTTCCCCCACTCAGGCTTGTCCTCTGACCTTTCAGGGCCAACCACTAAAAGTGGTGTTAAACCAAAGTTCTCAAACTTTCTTGAGCCTTTCATTTTCCTGGGCATTCCTGTTGACAGGCAGAGCCTGACTGTGAGACCAGAGGCTCTGCTTTCCTTTTTTTTTGCAGTTTTTGGCCAGGGCTGTGTTTGAACCCACCATCTCTGGCATATGGGGCCAGCACCCTACTCCTTGAGCCACAGGCACTGCCCGGCTCTGCTTTCCTGATGAGCTCCCAGGCCAGCCTAACCTGCTGGGCTGCTCAGCAGACTTTGAGGAGCACAGGTTTCCTAGATGACCCCCCTGGGTTCCTTTTCAGCTCTCACATGCTGACCTTCATCCTAACCCAAATGACAGAGAAAAACATTCAAGTGTGACACAGTAAAACTCAGGACAATATTTATATTTTACTTATTTAATGACTTATTTATTATTAGCAAGCATTTGTTAGTCAGTGGGAGACTTTTAGTTATTTTAATTTGTTGTCTTCCAGAAAAATTCTCATAAAATACTTTAGAGTTATTTACCTTATTTATTTATGAGTAGAAAATGAGGTGTAAAGCAATAGATTGACTTTTTCACCCAGGCCTGCACTGCTAGCTGGGAGATTAGAATGACAAATTTTGAGCTTCTGTTGAACCTTGATATTATTCAGTCCACAGGATGAAGATAGAGTTTGGAAGCTGGCATTATAGTTAATTCTGCATAGAATGAGACTGGTTGGGGTAAAATACCAGATGTGCAATGCTCTGCTGAGCCCAGAGTAGGTAGCAGCTTCAGTTAATACATGAGCAACTTGTCCTGTAGCACAATCACGTACTTGAATTAAGTTTTGGTGACCAGACATGTTAATTTGTGAACCAGTGACTAGAGAATGCCTGTTGAAAAGATCCTGACATATCAGTCATACATGCAGTAGATAAGAGCTTGTTCAATGGTTTTCTAATTTATACTGAGTAGCAGGTACACCTATTTTTGACGGGTTTATTGCATCCCTGATTGGGTCTCTAGTCTGTATCTGTCTTCTGGAAATGTATTATTGCCAAGGCAAGTAATTCACTGTATTCTAGCAAATGTGCTGAAAGTGTGAATTTGGATATTGATCAGTTTATTTTTAAAGGGAATGTATGCTTCTCACCATCATGACTTGTAATTTTCTTCCCTTGAAGGACTATTTAAAAGAACAGCTGTTTTGTATGAATGGTTTGGAGGAAAAGCCATTACCCATCCGACCTCTAAAGGTGACCTTGAGCAGTGTGGAAGATCAGCCTTCTGCCTTCAACCCTTTCCATGTGTATAAGGTGTTTAGTGGAAACATGCTAGCTCAGGTATGTGGAAGTTAAATGGTGAGTTTAATTCAAATGTGTCATTTCTTTACACATGTAAGAAAAAATGCTTTGTGTTTCAATATTTACTGAAAAGCTTTTTTTTTCTAAGAAGCAAAAGCCCTTGTTCTTATTTACATGGTCTGTGCAAATTGACTTTTAAAAGTTATCTTACCTTCTTTCTATTTGTCAAACTGATTCATATGTTTGGTCTGTAAAACTTAACTTGACCAGGTCAGTTTAGATGGGCAGAGGGAACATCTGTTTGGCTGCATCTACAGAAGGCCAAAGAACCAGGCGTTTTCTCACATTCTTCCTTTCCCCTGCCGCACTCCCTCCCCTGTACACATACTTACAAAACTCCAAAATGCATCAGGCAAATTGGAAAATAGTTTGAAATTAATTACAAGTGGAGCATTGAGCTTCTATTTTTAGTGGCATGAGGTAAATTTGCGTTGTATAACTGTAGACACATTCCTAAATTTAAAATGAATTTGTTAATGATCTTAAAGCCAGGCTATTTGGAATAAAGTCAATGTGATTAAACACCACATATTTTTTTAAATGTCAGATTATGTCATTGCTTAAGTTGCATTTTCAGTAGTTACATTAAAAAGATCATCTTTCTGCCAAAGTATTTGAAATCTCAAGTTGCTTTTGCTTTGTTCATCCTTCTGGTAACTTTTTCTCAGAAACCTCTTGACAGATGATTTGAATTAACAGGGCAGAAGAGAAGGATTACTTGACCTAGAGCTCTGATGAAAATAAGAATTAAAACAATGGCCTAATTCAGCATGCAGATAATATTTTTACCATGCCTGTTCCAGCTGTAGTCTACGTTCATCAATACTGTAGTAGAGTAAGACCTTCAAACGCTGACAACCTCGGGCAGAATTCTCCTACTCTGTGACAGGGTTGCAGTGCTCCATTAATCAGCGGGTGACAAGGAGTAGCTCTTGTTAGAATTTAAACATCAGCCTGGACTCTTATTATCAAAACTATTTTGTTTTAAGGAACATAGGCATCTATAATAAAGGAACATAGGCATCTATAATACTTTGAAACCAGATACATTGAACAAGTTTGTGTTGACTGGCTCCCTTCCTGTGCTGTATGTTAGACTGCTCTAAACCCTAAAGCTTCATGTAGCTGTTACATTCTCCTTACTTCACTTAAACAAATGCCATGTTTTATTGAGTTTCTGAGTTATGAGATTATTTTTCAAAGTAATTATTTTTACTCTGTTGTGAAATTAACTATTAATGAGAAAAAAATAATCATTTATGTTATTTACACTTACAGGTCCTTGTAATCTTCTCTTTAAAGCATTTTCTTACCCAAAAGAGTAACATTAATATCACACTATAATTATAAGCTGTGTCTTTTAACTTGAGTCTAAATTTGTTGGGTTTTTTTTAAATTAAACTTTTGGGTGCTAAAAAACCCCAAACTATAAATTGTTATATGAAAAGTTTCCAGTCATTTTACTTTGTTTTTCAAAGAGTTGGCCTTTCAGAGAAACTTGTTGGGCAAATGCCATTAACACTTGGAAGAGCAACAACTTAAGAAATGATTTATATTTTTATAAATAATGACTACATCCCCAAACGGATTTATAAATTAATTGCTGTCTTATTGGAATAAAAACCTTCTTCTGTGGACATGATTGATGTTATCTGTCTAAGTCCTTGTTCTGGACCCCCCTCCTTCTTAGTTAGTCTGTCACAGCTGGAGCTTTAATTTACTGATCATATTAACTCTGATTAATAACTAACAATAGTGTCTTCTCATTTATTAACAGTCAGCCATCGCAAAATGGAGCTGGAATTGGGCAAGTTTGCTGCCAAATTATCTGGGACTAGATAAGATGACCTTCAGTGTTCTGTTCAAAAACAGGTAATAAAATTGGGGATCTGGTCAGGGAAAGGTTGTAGGGGTGTGGGAGGCATTCTCCCCCCGCCCTACATTTTACCAGTGTACTTTTACAAAGGGTAAAACATTTCCTCAGCTAGAGAATCTCTTTTATTTTCTTCTTCTTCAGTCTTTTATCTTAAAAAAAAAAAAATACAGCTAAAATTAGATGAGTACTTTCTAAATGCTGCCGTTTATTATGAACTTTTTTTTTTTTTTGGAGACAGAGCCTCACTTTATTGCCCTTGGTAGAGTGCCGTGTCATCATATCTCATAGCAACCTCCAGCTTTTCGGTTTAGGTGATTCTCTTGCCTCAGCCTCCCGAGTAGGTGGAACTATAGGCACATGTCACAATGCCTGGCTATTTTTCATTGCAGTTTGGTCGGGGGCCATGTTTGAACCCACCACCCTTGGTATATGGGGCTGGCACCCTACCATTGAGCCACAAGTGCTGCCCTATTACAAACATTTGTAAAAGGCAGTACAATTTGTTTCTGAGGTGAAATTAGTTCATTTTAGTATGAATTTTAAATACCTTTGACTTTGTGTATTTAATATTGATAGTCACTATTGTAAACAACAGTTATTGACTTGAATGTCATCATCATACTATACCTTTGTTTACGGCAATTTAATGAATGCATATAAAATGCCAAGGCAAATTAACCAGTCTAATCAGGGAAATACATAAACAGAACTGTCAGGACTGTACTTTTCACTGGCCAGTCATTTTGGCATTATCTTTCTATAGTCTCAGCTGCATATCATTTTACATGGACACCAGCACAACTCAATAATGCAATCTCAGCCTGGGAATGTACACATGTGATTGATTTTGCATGAAGGTATAAACATCGTCTTTCTATTTAGGATCAATTGACACTGTTTATACCTTTAAAGTTTTAATGAGTGCTATAAGGGGTAACCTTAAAAATTGTATCTTTCTATCAAGTATCACATCTTCTAGTAAGATAAATTTGCATGAGACTTCTTTTATTGTTTATGTGTCATCTGTGTGGTAATAGCTAAGTATGAGAATTATTATATATGTGATCTTTGTGATTTGAATGTATTATCATAACTTTTTAGAAAAATATTGAGTATAATTTTTCCTGAAAGAAAATAATGACATTGACATAGTGAGATTGTCAAATCATTCTTGAGAGATTGGGGTACAGAGGAGAAAATGTCTCAGGACAGAGACTGAAGTATTTCCGAGAAGGAACTTTTTTAAAAAGGCAGCTTTATTGCCTATAAAAGCTATAGCGTATATTTGTGGTCATGGTGTTATTTCTATTATTTCGTCCTTGAATAAAACTCACCTACTATCAAAATTGAACAGCTCAGAAGCTTTGCAATCAAAGACAGAGCCTTCTCCCAGCAAGCTTACCCCCTGGCAGGCAGCACTCCAGAACTCTGTGTACAAGCCTCCAGAGGTGCTCTGATACCTCCCCAAAGCTGAGAGGCACAGTTGGTGGAGGAGGGGACAGGTCCATTGTTGAACCTACATGTATACAGTGTTTGCACAATATTGAATGTATGTCTGGAAACAAACTCAGAAAGATAAGTCATTTTTTTTCTTTTGAGTTGAGTTTTCTTTTGAGTTTTGAGTTCATACAGATTAAGTATATATTAATTATATTTAATTTAATTATATTTTATTTTTTCAACGGTGAATTTGCTATTTCCAACCTATTAAATAAGTACTCTAGAGACAACACATCCTTAAAAACTTACTGCATTTGCTTTGTATAAGTGAATTCTAAATGAATTTGTATTTTAACCAGAATTGCATGTTGTAATTTTGTTTCACAACTTTAGATATATATACTCAAGTAGGTCACTATCTAGTTCAGTGTATTTCCCTGAGATACATGCAGGAGTGGGTAGGAGAAAAAGAACTCCCACAGATATAGCCAGAAATAACAGGTCAAAACAGTTCTCTTTTGAAAAGGGTCATGAATGTTGAAAAGAAAACAGCTAGAGTCTCATCTTAATAAGAAGGCTAGGTTTTTAAAGAATGATATGAAAAGCATTCTATTGCAAACTACCACACACCACAAGCTGCCTTGAACCTGACTGAGATACTTGAGAAGGGTCAAAGACACCTGAGAGGTTTTAATCTCTTTGATCACTTTCCCATTTATTTTAAGAATGTTATTTGTGAGTTTTGATTAATATTGAACCAACAAGAAAATTGTTATTTTCTCTAAGACACTCTCTTGTCTGGACTTATCTAAAAGTGCCGATTTTTAAAATGAATAGTGAATTGAATTTTTGACAACATGGTTATCTGAAAGATACATATTTGAAAATGAGAACACAGAACATTGAGCTTTCAGAATGGGAGTTATATATGCCATCCAGCACCTAAAAGCTCTGGTATTTGGGATTACGTAAAGCCAGAGGAAAGAATTCAGAGCAAGTCAGTTTCTTTCTTCCAGGTGTACCAATCCTGTCAGTCTGTTGCTCTCACTTTGCTCCCATGTTGGTAGCACATCTGGATTAGTTTGTCTCTGCCCTCTGTCACCTGTCTCTATGGGGCTGCAAAAGTTGTCTGAGGACCTAATGTTTCAAAGAAATGTGAATCAAAATATACAAGTATGAAAAAATTCAGGAGAAGGGAGAAGAATCCTTTCTAACTGTCTCTAAAGTTTCTTTGTGCCTCATCTTCAATAGAAGAAGCAGATCATCTGTGGACTTACTCTTCCAAGATGCTCCAGACCCCTCTCACCCCCAAACAAGATGGAGATGGCAATGCTGGATTCCTGAGTTCTCAGGAGCTTACCTTTGACTTTAGATTTCCTTATCTTTAAAATGAAATAATGAAAATTATATAACTACTTCATGGAGATTATTGACACAGTCAAGACTGCTAGTGTATGGAAGTCTTTTTGAAAGTTGAACACACAGTATAGTCATCCCTATTCAATGGGGGCTCCAGGACCCCTGCAGATAACTAACATCTGTGGATGCTTAGGTACTTTATATAAAATAGTGTAGTATTTGCATATAACCTATGCATATCCTCCTGTATACTTTAAATCCTCTCTAGAGGATAATACCTAATACAATTCCCACACATAATTTCATGTGCATGGATACAACATAGTACTCGGTGCATGTCAAGTCAAGTTTTGCTTTTTGGACCTTTATGGAATTATTTTTGTCCAAATATTTTGTAGCCATGGCTGGTTGACTCCACTGATGCAGAACCTGCACACAGAGGGCTAAATAAAAGTATTCAAAAGAGCTCAGGTGAGGATGGACAGTGAAATTAATTGAGGCCTAGTAGGGAGTTGGAGTCATAAGATTAGGCACTGCGACCACCAAGGTTACATAGACTCCAGTCCTAAACCAATAGTGAGGGCCAGAACAAGAGTCGGGTCAGAGACCAGGCAGCCAGCTATCAGTCTGGAACACAAACAATGAGCAAAGAGGAGGGTCAAAAGGCCAAGGGAATCACTCAGGAGATGAAGTCTTCAGAGCCGTAGATTTGAGGGACAGTGCAGCCACGTGAAAGAGGACATCTCTGGTGCGAGGAGCGTCTGTATCTGAGGTAATAGTGACTTTTGTTTCACAAGCTGGTTCTGTGCTGACTCCAAAGGGAGGACAAACCTTGAAGCAGTTGCCCGAGTCCCTGACTGTGATGTGTACTAAGCTCAGTGTGCGTCCTCATCTCAAAAGGAGGTTACTGCCTGCTTCATGGTCTCCAGATTCTCTTACCTCTGTCCCACTTTGGGGTCTGAATACCTGGAGTTCCTTTGGGTCTTCACATGGCTGGTTCTGTCTTGTCCATCTGGGGCAAATGTTTCCTCCTCAGAGAAGAGCCTCCTTGTCACCCACCTGAAGTGGTTCTCCAGGATACTCTGCATGCTGCTCTGCTGGGTTTCTGTAGTGGAGTTAACACTGCCTGAAATCTTAGTTTCTGCGTGTTTATTGTGTGTTAATGTTACCCTCGACAGTAGACTGTAAACCCCATGAGAATAGCACCTTATTTGCCTTTTCCAGCTGTCTTTAGTACCTAGAACAGCTCTTGGGCACTTAGTAGGCTCTATGTAATATTTGTTGAATTAATAAGCAAATGAGGAATAAGAATGTGGAGACAAAGCCGACTCCTGACAGGTAAGCGCAGCGTCAGTGTCCTTTAATACAACGTTTTACTAATAGTCATGTAGGTACAAGAAGTACACTCTGGAAAGTCTCAAGCAGAAAATTATGTACCTGCTTATTGATTCTCTTCATTTTTCAAATTTAGATGAAAATCAGGTTATTTAAGCTCTGTGTGTTTAAAAGCCTTGTTATTATCATTATTGTCATGTCCAGGTTCTCAGATTAGAAGAACAGAAAACTTGTTTTTACTTTTAATTAATTGATCAAATCCTTTCTTTTGCAACAAAGTCTGTTCTTTATTCCATGACTTATAAATCTTTTGACCTTTGGGCAATAGGGTTTATATTTGTTAAATTATGCTAAAAATACAAGATGAAAACTGTAAGGTAGAGTTAACTGTAAGGTAGAGTTAACTGACCAAAGTATCCAATCAAGCCTTTGCAAATTAATTGTGAGTGATTTTCAAGGCATTCAAAGAAATACACAATAGTTGAGATATCAGGAATGAGATCCTGAAATATATTAATGGTATCTGTGTTTCAACTTTGAAAGTTTGCCTCTGTGGAAAATAAAGGCTCTCTAATAGTTTAGAAAATCAACATATTTATCAGTTCTACACCTTTACCTTTAATGCTATATAAGAATAAGCACAGTGATTTCACATTGATCTTTTGAAATAATAAGGGTACTTTTCACAGTTTCTTACTATTAGCTTCTTGCTTTTGTTCTCAACTGCTTTAAAATAAATCCAGACTAGTGAATAGGACGGTGATTGCGTCTGCAAGCGAGTGCACCAGAAGGGACACTCCATTCCTTCCTTCACAGCAAATCTCCAGATTGCCATTTTGATATTGTTTCCTTTGTCACTGGA